CTGCTATATATCATAATGAAGCGTCCATGTTTGATTAACTCTATTCCAGTGGTGGAGCCTTTTTCTCTGATGTTGCTCTAGAATAAAGCATTTTATCCATTTCTTTTTTCCCCTCCATGGAGAAAGATAGTACAATTGGGATTTCTTTCAATATTAAGGAATCTTGAGTTCTGTAGAGTTTTAAAACTATATACATCTGTATAATAACTACCTTTAAGAAATTGTTTTATTAATGTTTTCTTATGTACCATCTTCAAAAATGCATTTTATGTTGAAAGTATTTCAAAAGCCATTAAAATTGGATGTTTCAAAGGTTATTTTATGAGGATGAAAGGAGATATTTCTTTGAATATTTAGAGCAATTTAAATAGAGAAGCTAAAATAGGTTTTAAGAAAAATCCCATGTGCCCAATCCATTTCAAATTGGCAACTAGAACAATAAAACAATATAAGTGGGAGACAAAGCTCTTAATGATTTGCAGTAAAATGCAATAAACTAGAGAGGCAGGACTGTAATCCCATGGTTGTCAATCCGGCTTACCTTATGACAGATAAAAACTCAGGAAGGCACTGTGACTGAACAAACTCCTTTGGGCTTCTTCAGATTCCTTCTGTCATCCAGTCTTCTAGACCCAGGAGAGCTTGATTGCCCACTGTCCACTGCATGCATTTAGGCCAACCAGACACACAGCTGAAACTTCTAACCCTTCACAGCAACTTCTGGATTTGGATGAGATACAATACCTCATGAGGAGGAGTATGGCATCACAGCTCCAAAGAGATTGGATATGCAACCTAAAAGTCTGGAAAAGTTAACACTGTAGAGCCACAATTCACCTGTGGGCAACAGAAGAAGTGAGTTCCAAGGCAAGGGGAATTCTCCCTCTTTCTTATGAACTTCTTCAAGGCACAGTGGCCTGGTACAGTTCCTCTGGACAAGTACTCTATGCCAGGTGGATGCAACTGCCCATAGGACCTGCTGTTTCTTTACAACTCATTGTGACACAGTAACCTGTGACCATGTTGTGTCACCTCTAACTTTGCTGGACTTCCCTGTGACCCTGCTCTAACTGCACCTTCTAAATAAAACACCAGCATGTTGATCCTTGCCTCACATTTGTTTGCTGGAGAACCTGGGCTAAAATATATCTCCTAACTCAGGATTTTAGTAATGTATGTTATATATTTTACAATTGTGAATTATTAGTAACAAAAAACTACCATCCTTCAAGGTATTTTATAAATAGTGAAGGTAATTTTACGGGTTTCAGTTTTGTAATATTGATTTGTTAAAGCCATCTGTTGATGCTTCTGAAGATACTAATTACAGTAGCACTTGGAAGCTAATTTCAGGTCACAATAATGACTGTTCAGATAGCTAGCTGCCCAATGACTTTTATGGTGATCTTGACAGTTATTTTCTAGAAAAACATCACTGATTATCAGTGGCAAGGTCAGGGTTCAGGTCCCTTCCCAGGGACTTCGAGGGGGGAGTCAGAAGCCGGAATGAAACACTAGTTTCCGGAACAAGAGGACGATTAGAAAGACGTGAGATGATATGGCAGTGAAGATATACACCTGTGTGACCTTCAAGATGTAATACCCATGGAGGAACCACTCTCCAAAACAGGACCACCTAGGAACCCTGAGACTTCGTTTCAGAAAGATAGCAAGTAGTCCTCAGTTTATCTCTCTGGGAAAGACTTTCTGACCTCAGTCTTGTTTTGTTCTGGCATAACACTCATTTTTCTGTCCATTTCTTTTTGTCAGCTTCTTCCTTTCAGCCTTACCTGCTCTTGGTTTCTTTGGTTGACATCACTTTGACTTGTAGTCCAGGTTTTTCCACTCAGTTTATTCTCTTTGGTTTGGTTTTCAATGCTCCATTTTTCTCTGAGATCCCTCTTCTAAGATTCTTACCTGCATCTCCCTTCTCAGCCTCCTCTGAAGTTGTGACCTGCACGTCATTCAGCTGGGACTCTAGCATTCAACGGAGGAGAGAGGAGACTGTGTTCACATTTTTTCTTTCATTTAAATTATTACTAAATTTTTGTTCTTTTCTCTCTGTTTTCTATTTTAAATTGTATGATGTCAAATATTCTGGAATAGTAGTTCTCAAGGGGGGGCGCCTGGGTGGCTCAGTGGGATAAAGCCTCTGCCTTCGGCTCAGGTCATGATCAGGTCCTGGGATGGAGTCTCGCATTGGGCTCTCTGCTCAGCAGGGAGCCTGCTTCCTCCTCTCTTTCTGCCTGCCTCTCTGCCTACTTGTGATCTCTGTCTGTCAAATAAATAAATAAAATATTTTTTAAAAAAATAGTAGTTCTCAAGCTTTTGGGCTTTAGGAACCCTTTATACTTTTCAAGTTATTAAGAACTCCAAATAGCTATACACATTTATTATATTAGAGATTAGAACAGAATTTTTAAAAGTATTTATTAATTAAAAGCACAATAATAAACCCATTACATTTTAACATAAATAGTATTTTTGTGAAAGGTAACTATATTTTCCAAAATTAAAATATGAGAAGAGTAGCATTATTTCAAAAATCTCTTTACTATCTGGCTTGATGGGTGATAATTTGAGAGGAAAAAAAGAGGAGACAGTTTAATTCCCATCTGCTTCTGCATTCGATTCATTGTTTTGTTTCAAGTATAGATAAAAATCTAGACTCACTCAAACATGCAACTGGAAAAGGGAGAGCCTCATATAAGAACCACAAGAATCTCAGGGACCCAAAAGGGTTTTCCCGTAACACTTTGAGAACCACTGATCTGGAGTACACTGGAGAAATAATTATCCTTTTCAAAATTGTTTATTAAAGAGAAATTAGTTCTGAATTCAAAACAAATAACTACATGAGAAGATTGCTAGTTCAGATAATCTGATGTGTTTTCACTATTTCCAGAATTCAGATAAATTAATTGTCAAGGAACTAAAGCATAATAAAAATTTTTAAAAGACATCCCAATATGTAATATATGAGATAAAATGTGGTAAAAAAATAAATACTAAAAATGTGTATTTGTATTAGAAAAGCTTTTGTTTAATATAAATACATCATATGAAAAAATTAAAGGATCTCATGATGTATTTTATATTGATTAGAAATATATGAAAACAAGGGGGAAACCTTATATTACATAAACTCTAAATGTGTAGAGAGAAAGATAAATTTGAATACTAACAGTCTTTTTGACTATTTTTGAAACATTTTTATTATTGAAGTATCATTGACACACAATGTTACATTAGTTTTGGATGCTAACAGTCTTAAATAAGAAATACTCAGGTTCTTTTTTTTTTTAATTTTTAATTTTTTATTAATAAAAAAAATTTTAAAAATTTTTTTAAAATTATGCAATTATGAAAAATATATTTATCTTGTGAGAAAATCTTTAAGACGAAGAGAAGATTATGATAAAAACTATCTGTATCCACTGAATGATTCCTCTTATATGAGACATCTCAAATAGTCCAACTCATACAAGTAAACAGTAGAATCATGGTTACTAGTGGAAGAGTGAAGGGGGCAATGGGGAGTTGTTCAAGGGGTATAAAGTTACAATTTTACAAGATGAGTAAGTGCCAGAGATCTGTCATACAACAGAATTCCTATAGTTAACAATAAAGTCTTGTGCATTTAAATATTTAAGGAGGTAGATCTCATTTAAGTGTTCTTAACACAAACACACACACATGGTTTGCGTGCACCCATGTGTGTGCAACACGAAAGCACACAAGAAACTTTTGGAGGTTATGTTGATTACATTGTGGTGATGAAAATATAAGCATATACGTACGTCCAAACTCACCAAATTATATACATTAATTATATGTGGGTTTTTTGGGAACTAATTATACCTCAATAAAACTGGAAAAAGTAATAAAAATAATAATTTTAAAAATAATCTGTATCCAAATTTTCTTCATAACCATCTGCAGAAACTGAACTAGAGTGTGAGGCAAGAACTCTTGGGAGGAGATCTGTCAGCATCATCTGCCTGTGCTAGAAATGCCTCTCTTATTCAAAGATTTCATTTGATACAAATAGAGATTATGCTGAGTGAAATAAGTCAAACAGAGAGAGTCAAGTATCATATGGGTTCACTTACTTGTGGAGCATAAGGAATAACATGGAGGACGTTGGGAGATGGGGAGGAGAAGGGAGTTGGGGAATATTGGAGGGGGAGACAAACCATGAGAGACTGTGGACTCAGAAACAAACTGAGGGTTTTGGAGGGGAGAGGGTAGGGTGTTGGGTAAGCCTGGTGGTGGGTACTGTGGAGGGCACGGATTGCATTGAGCACTGGGTGTGGTGCATAGACAGTGAATTTTGGAACACTGAAAAAAAATAAAATTTAAAACAAACAAACAAAAAAACTAAATAGAATATAAAAAAAGGTTACTGGTAGTGACAGACCCTATCCTCTCTTGCTCTCACAATTTCAAAGAAAAAGCGAATACCTTTTTCTTGGTTATTTGAGCACAATTTCTAGGGAGGACCCTGATTGGGATGACTTGGGTCTGGCGGATAGCCCTGACCCAGTCACAGTGCCCAAGGAAGAGAATTCTGATTGAATTGGCTGGGTTATGTGCCCACCTCTGTGTGAGAAAGGCAGTGAAGTGCCTGACAGCTCCAATGGGTTTGGGACAGGGATTCATAAAAGAAAAGAAGAGGAGGAGACAGGTTGAGATGAACTTGTGCCTTAGTGGTGTGGGTAGTGATTTTTGAAATAGGGCCATGCAAGAGATTTGACAAGTTGGAATCTGCATTTTTAACTAGTTTGACTTTATGTCTGGAGCAGAGAAGAAAGACATACAAGTGAAAAGGGGTGGCCGGGGGGTGGGTAGGAAAGAAACACAAAAAGCTTAAGAATAAGCCTCTCTGCCAATTACCTGATTCACGCAGGTGGTTATTGCTGGTTCTGATTCTCTGCCAAAGTTAAGGCATTTCTAAAGTGGGAGTTTCTTTCAGTTTCTCTTTTTCGTTTTCCTTCTAGGTGGACAAGAAAATTGTAAGAACTGAGATAGGAGTTCTTCTTCGCCTCTCACATCCAAACATTGTAAGTACTTTTTAATCTACTATTTCAAATAATCTTCAAACTTACAGACTGGGATTTTTGTTCTTTGCTGCCCGTGCTGATAATAAGAAGGGGATATTTCTACCACCAATAGGTAGCCACCATGGCCTACCTCCTGTCCTCATCTAACCACATTTTTCATTTCTTTAGCTGAATAAATCTTAAAAATAATACCACACAAAAGAATTTCAAAATGGACAGATCAGCAGTATATACCATCTTTGTTTTCATGCATAAAAGGATAACTAAAAATTGAGGAGTTTTGTTTCACTCTAATAAAACACTGGCCTTTTCCTTTTGTGTGCCTATCTTATTAATATGCCATTGCTGAAAAAGCCTGTGAAGAAAATGCATTGCTTTCCAAAGTCATTTTAGTCTCCCTTGAGAGTATCTACTTCAGAAACAATGTGAAGATTCACATAAATGATGTACTTGAATGGGAAAAATCAAATGTCCTCAAAAGCTCTGCTCTAGGCTGTGTCCAGACAAAGGCATTGAGAGAAAGGTCTGGCAAAAAGCTTTCTTGAGCCAATGAAGTGAAAAGAACAAAATCATTTTCTAGGCCATAACTTGAATTCAGCCAACTACTTAAAGAAAGTATTTTACTCATTTCTTTGAGAAAGCTGTGTTGTCCAGGAGGATGACTAACCTGCAATGCTTACTTGGGCTCCAAGCAAAGTGCTTAAAACTTAAATATGGGTTAACAATGCAGGCAGCTAAAACAGAAAACTTGAATATGGTAGTCTAAATAAATATTTTCTTTATGTTATAATCGGAAGGCAGGCAGTTGCTAGCATTGGTTTAGCTCCTCAGTGATGCCATTCAGAACCTAGATGTCTTCCATCCTCACACTTTCCCTTCATGGTCCTAAATGGCTGCTCTACAGTCTTCACAAGTCTTCAGACCTATACTCTAGAGAGAAAAAAATTGGAAAGGCCACACCAACAGAGTATGAAGAGAAGAGGAGAGGCTTTTCCAGAACTTACAGCAGCAGCAGAATTCTCTTCAGATTTATTGGCCAGAGCTAACCATAAGATCACGGCTCTTCACTGCATGGAGATTGGAAAATCAGGGAACAAAGTTATCATAAATGGCTTAGACCAATCATGATCCGTAATTTGAGGCTAGGTACCTTTCTTCCCTAAACAAAATCTGTTTGCAATAAAATAGGGGGAAGGAGCTTTGGGTAAGTAATAAACAAAATTTACCACATACAATCAATCACCACTTTTACATTATCCATCTTTTTCTTTCAACAAAAAGCCAGTGTGGAATTTTCCTTAAATGTAGATCAGCGCTGGTCACTAGATTCTCTTATATACTGAGGAAAATATCCAGAATTGGATGAGTTATCTGAATGTGATAAAATCCTATTATAGTCAGTCAAATCAATGCCATTACTACTTTTCTGAGGATCTCTTTATCTACCAGCAATTTTTTTGCTGTTGAGAGATACCTTTCCGTACAGACCTTTTTTTCTTTTCTTTTCTTTTAAGATTTTAATTATTTATTTGAGAGAGAGAGAGAATGAGAGAGAGAAAGAGAGCATGAGAAGGGGGAGGGTCAGAGGGAGAAGCAGAGTCCCTGCCAAGCAGGGACCCCAATGTGGGACTCGATCCCAAGGTTCCAAGATCCTGACCTGAATCTAAGGCAGTTGCTTAACAAACTGAGCCACCCAGGCGCCCCAGACTTTTTTGAAGAAGAAGAAGAAAATGCTTTTATTAATCACAACATGAAATTGACATGACAGACTTTAACCTGGTCCCATTCTGCCTCAGATCCCAAATCCAAGTTCCCTTTCTGGAGAAAGAGGCATTTGCATCACTAGGAACCATGACTTTTTCAAATGGTTCAAGAAGTTTTGTTTGCTTGCTTTTGTTTTTTAGTTCTGGAGAAATTCAGAAATTGTGATGTTTTGGCAAAATTTGGAAGTGTTTCTAAGGCAGGTGTCTTTCAACTGTCAAAAGGAAAAATATAAAAACTCGAAAGGACCTTTAAGGAAATGAGGTAACAGATAAAAACAACCAGAGAGTGACAGATGGCTTCTTGTTACAGAATGTGGGAACTTTATTGACAATGATCCAGTATATTACTATTACAAAGAGTGTTGTTTTGGTCATAGCACTAGCTTTTCCTAGAAAGTTGAAAATAAGGAATTTATTATTTATTTTTTAATATCTTTCCCCAGATAAAACTTAAAGAGATATTTGAAAGCCCTACAGAAATCAGTCTGGTCCTAGAACTGGTCACAGGAGGAGAACTGTTTGACAGGTGAGTTGGTCCTAGAAATCTAACCAGAGAGAGGTTTTGCTTCCAGGCACCAAAGAGTATCAAGGGGAAATTTCCCCTGAAGATTTTCATAATGACACATCATGCTACTTGATCAATTCTACTAAAATAAATCATAACAGGAGTACAGAATGGAGAGAGAGTGTTATTTGCTATGATGTGGGTAGGTGAAAATTTGCCTTGCTTAGTGAGTAAAAAAAGAAACACAGTAATATCAGTTTACTTTTGCAAACATTAACTTTCCCAATAAAAGCAGATTTCTGAAGTCATTATAAACTTAAACTAAATGGTAGCATTTTGATGAAAATTATAGGAAGTTAAACACGTAACAGTATTCTCTGTTAGGATTCAAAAGCTCATAAAAATCAATATTCTTCAAATAATTATTTCTAGGCCTACTTTCTCTATTAAGCTGTTTAGAGTTCTCAGATGCAGAGTAAAATGTTCTGTTATTTCCAGGGACAGCCAGTTTTAGTTGTCTGTTCATATGCTCATCACTCAAGGCAGAGTTGGAGGTTGGCAGGAAGTTATGTCTAAAAATTTGATAGAGCATAATATAGGCAAACAATATGTACAAGAGACACAACCTTTTAGTTTTAAGCACAGCCCTTTGCTGTGCTCATTGTGGTAATCAAAAAATAATGGAATTGGAAGAAGGCAAAGTGACTAAGTAGGTATATATTAGAAATAGTTAGAAGCTGTGCACTGATACAAAATTCTTGTTGCTTAAGAATGGGTTAAGAGAGGAGTGGGGTGCAGAGAGAAGACAGGAAAAAAATTGAGGGAATTGCTGATAAAGCCTGAGTGCCTGGAGCACAGTCAATTCTCAGTAAGTGTTTGCTGAATGAATGGGCAATCACTGTAATGAATGGACTCCCAGGAAAAAGATCTGCAGGGGATAGGGTTAGAATGTGTTGGGAAAGGAGTTCTCCTTTCCAACTCTACCTGGTTCAGTTTGCTGCCTGCTTCAAGAGCTTCCAAAGGTATTCATGTTGGTTTTCAAAGGTTCTGTTTGTTTTTAATGTTCCCCAGTACAGATTTGGATCTTCCGATAACAAGGAGTAAAGTGGTCCAGTTTGATTAGAAGTACATATATATCTTCAACAGATATATAATTTTGCTCATATGTACTTTGAAATTTTCTTAGAACAAGTTATGTGAATTATCAGACTTTAAAAATTGTAACATTTTAACTCTATCCATACTTTACAAATAAATGAACCAACTTTAGGAAGTGAATATCAATAGCCTGAAGACTTATACTTCTTGTGGCAGTTGGCGGATAGTTGTTTGGATTCATGATTCTAGAGCCTGACTTAAAGGGAAAATACTTAACCTAGGATTATTGGTTTACCTCTCTGAAACTCAGAATGAATTTGAAGTGGTTCTATGCTACTAAGGAAGCTGAGACACTGACCCACCAGAATAGTCTTGTTCTAAGATCATCACGTTCCCTCGTGCTTAGTGAAGACTCTTCTGCTCTAAATGTTAACAGAATTGGCCGGAAATGGCTTCTTTTTCCACACCTCTATAGCTAACTCTTTCATAAACATATTTCTTCTTTAGACACATTAACAGAGTCAATTTATAGTTAGATCTTGCTGCCTTTGGAGCCATGAGGTCTCTCTAGGGAGAACTAATATTTCTCTGCTAATTATGGTCTATCAGAGAGAAATACCATGTTCTCCAATTTTAAGTAACTGCGGGACAGGAATGTCACACTAATGCCATCATCTACCAGTAGCACTAACTATTTACCTACTTACCTCTATTTGTTCAAATTATTTTGGAAGCAAGTCTCTGTCCCTCTCCAACCTTTTTTTCATGAAAAGATTCTGGTTCTCTCATCTCATAGTCTGATTGATGTGATAGGAAAGAGTTAATTTAGCTCTAGAAAAAAATGAAAAAACTAAATATTGTTGATCAATTTCATTTACAGAGATAAATGGATGAAATATTCAGGCTTAAGAGATGACATCTAAAGAGTGGCAGACAGCCAGTAAAGCACTCAATCACTTATAAACTCTTAGCAGTCTTAGATCATAGACTCTTCCCCCCCCCTCCAAATGTTGTTGTCCATATATCTGTTGCCATATCTGAGATGAACTTGGTTTCTCCATTAGGTTACTTAATTCTATAGTCATCTTTAAAACTGTGTCAAGCCTAAAATATATCCTACATTATTATCCATGTATTGCTTTCTTTTTTGAGAGTTAAAAATCATAATATGGTCTCCTTTTCCTATACTTAGGTCAAAACCAAATTCATTTAATTTTGATGATCAAAATTCATTCCTGTTCTAGTGATGATGTTAATAGTTTCTAATGAATGAACTAATGGAGCAATTAATGAAGAAATAATTATGTTAGTCCATTATAGTCAAAAGTTATATTTATTAGCAAAAATTCTATTCCATGATGCTCCTAGAAAATTAAGCATAGTAAATCCAAGTGGAATCTGCTGTTACATGTTAAATATGAATAGTAAATTGCATAGGACAATTGATGAACATTTTTGGAGTAAAGTCAGTGATTTTTTTGTGTTCAAGAAAATCTCCCCAGGGACGCCTGGGTGGCTCAGTGGGTTAAGCCTCTGCCTTCGGCTCAGGTCATGATCTCAGGGTCCTGGGATCGAGCCCCGCATCAGGCTCTCTGCTCAGTAGGGAGCCTGCTTCCTCCTCTCTCTCTGCCTGCCTCTCTGCCTGCTTGTGATCTCTCTCTGTCAAAATAAATGAATAAAATCTTTAAAAAAAAAAAAAAGAAAATCTCCCCAAAAGCCCTTTATGAAGTTATGGTATCATGGGAAAAAGAAAGCTCTAGAGGTTTTCTGTTTCATCCTTCTCAATCTCCTCATAATTCTGAGAAATACGTTGTATTTTTAAGTGGACACAATGTGAGGTTGTTTGCTTTTAAGAGTAAGTTTTCAATTTTTTCCAGAAAATGATTATATCTTAAAACAGCTAATTTAGCAGTATCCTTACACTCATCTGACCAAATTTTTGAAGAGGTATTTTTTCTCCTGATTTTTGTCTGACTCCAGTATCAGAATATATTATGGATTTTTAAATTGTCTTTTTTCTGTTTTCTCCTTGGGTTTTTACTTGCCTGATTATGCTTGTTCAAATGCCAAACATTATGTATAAAAGATTTTGGAATATGAGGCTTTAAATGTTGTAACCTTCCAAAAAAGCAGATTTTCTTTTGCAGGCAGTTAAGGTAAGGAGCAGATCACTTTAATCCAATCACATATTGGGTTGATTCAAAGCTGGGCTTCCTGAAGGCAGATCTATTTCTTGTCAACTCTTACTCATAGGTTTTTGCTCTTTAAGGGTTCCAGTTTAAGTCAGGAGATTGTTCCAGGGCCCCCTTTCTTGACAGACCCTAAATGCCAACTTCTGTTCCCTCCATCCTGTGAGATGGCCAGAAGCTTTGTTCATCTTCTCAGTTAGCTACTAATGTCAAGTCAGTAAATGCACCAGTAAATGCCTTTAAAGGGAAAGCAGAGGCATCCGATGTTAGATTTGCTTTGCAGGTTTTTCTTCTCTCCTGGATCTTGGTTCCTGAAGCCTTCACCTCCTTGGGAACTCTCTGATATCTTCAAATATATTCCTTAAAAATATGTTATTTAGCTTATCTTCATTGTGCTTTCCTGGAGGCTTATTTACCTCACTGTTGCTGAGAACAAAAAATCAATGTATTTGGTTTTAAAGGTCTTTCCCAGACACTAGTGTGTTTTCCTCTTTTACATTAACCCTTTGGGGTAAGGAGGATGAAAAAGCGTTGTCCCCGCTTTACAATACAGCAACTGAGAATGAGGAAGGGTAAATGATCTTCTTAAATCTGGAAGTCAGACTATCTTCTGGTCTAGCTCTGCTTCCTCATGTGACCTCACTGTCTTTCTTATTAAATCCAGTTAGTCCCTTTCAAATCATTTCCAAGAAAGTAAACTATTATTTATTTATGGAGAATCCATACTGCATTTGTTGGTCCTATGCAAAGCTATATATGTATCCCCACTCAATCACTCTTCAAGTGTTTTGAGGTATTATTCTATTTTTTTTTTCAAGAGAATAAACTGAAGAAATTAAGTCATAAAGTCAATCTTGAAATTCATGTCTATTTGACTAAAAACTTCTTTTTTTTTCAGTTTTCCAAACTGAAAATATTCTTTTTGGAAACTATAAGTGGTCAATGAGCAAGAGAAGTAGTGGTTACATTTGGAACTATGCATTTAGCCTATTAATCACCTGATGGAGCCCTAGTATATCAATCCATATAGTCATCTTTACTTCAGCATTTCATGGCTTTTACTATTGGTGGAAATAGAATTTTCAGGACATTGTCGTTAGAAAAAATTCCAGAAACGGAACTTAGGGTTTTTGCTTGCCCAGTCTCCATAGAGTTGTGCCATGGTTGGTACTGAGATTAACCAAACTCAGAATACATATGAATTTATAAAGACTCTTGTGTCAAAAATTGGTCATTGATGTACTTGTTTATTTTTTTTAAGATTTTATTTATTTATTCAAGAGAGAGAACATGAGAGGGGGAGGGTCAGAGGGAGAAACAGACTCCCTGTTGAGAAGGGAGCCTGATACGGGACTCGATCCTGGGACTCCAGGATCATAACCTGAGCTGAAGGCAGCTGCTGAACCAACTGAGCCACCCAGGTGCCATGATGTATTTGTTTAAAGTGAAGATCTGTGAAATCCGGTTGTCTAAGAAGGATAATTAGTCACTATAACAAGGGCATTTTTTTCCCATTTTATTTCTTTTCAGTGTTCCATCATTCATTGTTTATGCACCACACCCAGTGCTCCATGCAATACATGCCCTCCTTAATACCCACCACCAGGCTCACCCAACCCCCCACCCCCCCTTCCCTCCAAAACCCTCAGTCTGTTTCTCAGAGTCCACAGTCTCTCATGGTTTGTCTCCCCCTCCAGTTTCCCCCAACTCACTTCTATGAGGGCCATTTTTGAG